TGCAGTTAAAAGATCGAAATGATCCCACACAGCAGAAACTTTTCTTTTTCTTTTGGGCTCCATTTTTTATGGAGAGATATGTATTATCTGTTTCTTTGCGAGAGTAATTTTGTTTTTGTTTTTTGGTGGCGACTCATTCCGTTGACAGATGCAGATGTGGTACATTTTAAACGCCGTTTAGAGCGTTGGCAATGAGCGATACAGCAGCTGTATTGATCACGTGACTTTTTCTTAAAGCGACACACGCACCGATACAGGCTTCGCTCTGTGAGCTTGATACATGCGCTGGTGGGTCAGTGCTGCTGGACCCATCACTAATTATTGGTATTTAAATGAACACCAGCAAAACTATTAAATACGGAATAGAAAATAGAAAACGTTGTTGCGTTCCATTCCACGCCCCCGGAAGTTTAATGTAGGACTGAAAGGATCCTCAATTTAAAATATTGGAAAGATTGTAAAACAGTCAAAAACGTAGCCCTTGTAATAACCGGAAATTTTGACTTATGGGTGGCTTTTTTGTGATTCTAACTATGCATTTTTAATGTGTTGGATAACATTTATATTAAATTGAATGTAGTAATAAAATAGTGACGTCTACAGGCGTTTTTAAAATACGTATTGTGGCAGAACTTCCTTCTATTACTTTGAATCAAACTTTTAACTGCTAGAAGTAGCGACCCTAAACTGGATGAAGCTTGATGGATGGATTGAAAGGTATGTAGTTGTTTGTTTTACTTTGCCATGGGACAAACCTCTAACCTCAGCAGGGGCTCGGGTATTTTCAGATACTGTATATTGTTAACTCTGGGTATATTCATTTTAACTGCTAGTGCATGCTCATGCTGTAATATTGTTTGGTCTTTTGTAACAGTGATGCTTAATTACATTGAAAAAGGGGAAGATGGGGCTGACTGTATAAAAATAGCACATTTTTGTGGGTCCTCTGAAATGCTGAGTCTGTGTGTAGCAACGCGACAGAGACATCAATATAAATAAATCAAATGTGATGCATGATTAGCATGGTGTTTGTTATACTTTGAATTTTTTTTTTTTTGCCTTTACAGAAGTTTCAGAAACAGGAAAGAATAAAAACTCACGAACATTTTTGTTTATGATCACTTTATTTTTAAAAGCAACGAAAAAGTAACTTAGCCCCCTCAAACTAAACTACTTCTGTAGATAAAGAAAGTTAATGTTCTTTATAGTAGCATCAAAAAAAATCTCTTTATAACCAGCTATCCTAAACTCTAAACTCCAATAGTCGTATGACCTTATGATCTCAGTAGATATTAGACAGTAAATAACACAGCACTCTACCACAGTGGTTATCAAAACCCCATATGATTAAAGCTAGACTACTCAGCACACTAAACTAAACACATTTAAATCCTTAACAGTATTAGAAACTAACAACAAACCCCAGCACTACTCCCACTCGGTTTTGTCATTTACATCATTTGTGTTTCCATTATTCTAAGTAAAGTAATGAAATGTCCCGTGGAGCCCCTCACACATTTAGAGACAGCTTTTAGAAATCACAGCGGACCAGTGAGTGTGCTCTCAGTGAATGCTGTATCTGCTGTTATCTCTGGTCTCAATTGTCTTTATCAGCAGCTTCGGGGCAGGAGAGCTGGAGGCACTTTGGTAGCCATTAGTGCTTTTAGTACTTGAAGAGAAACCTGAAGAAAAATACATGAAGATGTGTAAAACAGAATTTCATAAAATACAAATTCTTTGTCTTTATTAATGTAACCTCTCAGTCCAGAGCATCAAGGGCTTAGTCATAACATTCATATTCATACACTAAACTGCCTTAGTGTTTGACACTTACTGTAGTTGGAGATGGGCTGGATGTTGAGGATAGACTGTTGTCCAAGTCTGCAGAGGCAAAAAAGAAACAAAGAAAAGAAAAAGAGGTTATTTATATTTCACTTTTGTGGACTCTTTAACTCTTCTGTTCCATCCTGGGCTGTAACCATGTGGTGTCACATTCCCACCCATAGAGGGCACTCTACCCTAACATTAACCTAAATTCTGTTTCATTTCATCCTGGTGTAGTTCTCACTGATGTCTCTATTATCGCTCTGTGGGGTATGATAGCCCCGTTGACCTTGAATTAGATACGCAGAAGAAAATGGGTGGATGAATAAATCATGATAAATCTCCGCTTCATCTGGGAAACAAAGAGCTGCAAAATGGCTTATCAGCAAAAAGTATAAAAGTCATGAGCACCACAAAGGTTTATCTGGCATTAGCAGAAAGAGCTGAACCTTACAGCATTCACACAATAAAGACAAACAGGAACTAGTTGTTAGCAATACAAAAAACCTTTCCATTGGAATCAGATCCTTGTCTGTTTCCACTGTTTCTAATTATTAATTTAAGATTTAAACTGCATTATTATTATTGTGGCACACCGACAAATTAAAAAATGTTATTTATTGCAGCATTTTCTTTGTATTCAGAGGTTTTCTGAGGGGA